ATTGTTTTTTTCGATTGAAATGTATCCTTCAATCCGAATTCGTTCAATACTAATTGAAGTAATCAGCTTGGCCAACCATCGTGAGAGTTTGTGTTGAGGAGAGTTAACCATCGGTAGGATTTATCGTAATGGGATCCCTGGTTTGAGCAATTTCGGCAGTCCGTACATTCTTGAGAGTAGGTTATGATGGCACGTTTAGGAAACACGGAACTGGTGAGCCAAGTCGTGATCGACACAAACACGTTCGTTAAACTGACCTCGAGGTTCGCAGTCTAAAGAATGATCAATCAAGACCGGTGGCATTTATCCAACATCAATAATCGTGGATAATAGTGATTTACAATGTAAAATATTCACTTATGCCCAAAGGTTCAGGCGTTAGACTAAAGGGTGCACACAGAAGCAATTTAGACATTGGGGATTCACAGTACAAATTGCCATCAGGTAAAAAAGGAGTTCATTGCCAGCGTTCACCCATCTGGGTTGAGCTAGGACAAACAAGCGAATAAGAAAGACCACAAAGCGGATTTCAAGGAGGTAGCAAAATAAACGTGAACTGAAATGCTAAGACACTCTACTGTACGACTGTTTTGATCTTCATTTATCTCATCAGTAGATACCAAAGAGCCTTACTCATGATCAACCGTTACTTAACACATTTTACTGGGAGACCTGGAAGGATTGAGTCTTTGGGCCTGTAAATAGTTACTCTTATCTCGCACGTCGAGGAATGCTTCACCAGGACTGCGCAACCCATCTGAGGAGGTCCTAGCCACTGAGTTTGAGTGTCCGACATGTTTAATTACTAAAGGTGGGTGAATAAAACCGACCTCCGGGAGTATAAACAGGTCGGTCACCTAGGGGCGCTGAAAGAAACCTGATGCCATATCAACCAAGAAGTGGCGTACGAACAACCGACACCGTCACTTGGTTGTGACGAAGTTTACCGGATGGATTGGGCATTAGGGTAGTTTAGGCTTTAAAAAGTGTGTGATCCATGAAAATGCCACCGGACCCTTAATTGTTTACTTCACTCACTACTCCGCTGACTTGTGCACCAGGTTTTGGCAAGTCGAAGGCTCTGGTTGTGAATCTCCTAACCAAATTTACCCCGCCCCCTTCCCGATCCGGGAAACCTGGCACTATTTCGCTCATGGACAGACCATGGACTGGTTTTTATAGATATTGTGTTTAAGCGTTGTTTGTTTGGCAAACAGCTTATTTCATTAAAGTTTTAAATATTATATGGTACGTTATCTTAATCAGAAAAGACAACGGAAATCATCTCCACATGGCCTCAAATCCCCTTATGAAACAAGGTTGCTTTCTCGTAATTCCCATCACGTATTCAATAAACGAAAACAACGAAACGGTGCCAACGATATGTTCAAAATAAAACAACGTTACCATAGATTTCTTCTGTCGGGTTTCTATTGAAAACAAACAATTACGCAAACGAAAATGCTCTGATTAGACAAGTAATGGGCACAGAAAAAATGTCTACTTAAAGTGAGCAATACTTATAGTACTGGAAATCCGTCCGCTACTGTTATTCGATGTTAGGTTTTTTTCACAGAATTAGTCTATAAACGAGGATCTTTTCATTTATTTGCCGTTTTGCAATTACAGTCCATATTGTGATACCCTTACGGAGACCAAACGTATACTGGAATGGTACCACGCTTCACAGTAGAAATTTGGAGCGATCGGGAATTAGTTTGACCTGTGTTCTTAGGCCATTCATCACAGAGCCTTTTCAGCTTCATCGACATTCGGTTGTTTATCTTGTATTAGAAGATTCACACTACTTCTGCTGTCTGCTTTTCTAAAATAATACTTGCTGATCCGTGTGTCAACTTATGACATTGGCTATATTCTTCAGCTGCTGTGAATGCTGCCAAGATGAGCTTTCAGTGGAATCACCCACGGGTCAAGTGATTGGCTACGTAAAACAAGTGCTGTCGGGTTGTGATGTGCGATATCAGATCCAGGACGGAGATCGGAATGTGGTGTTACAAATCCATGGTCCGCCTTACTGCTATTGTCCATGTTTCGGTGAAGATATTCACTTCCGGGTAGGTGAACTATACTCGCATGATAACCTTTCTTTGGTCAGTGCGCGCAATTCGAAACCATCCAGTGTGAACGTTGTTCAAATAGAAATTTTCAAGAAATAGGTTTTCGAAATTCTCTTATATATCATTTTGCTATCACCATTTCAGCAGCAGATTTCGTAAATTGAAACTAAACTTGTTTTAGAGCTCATATTGATTTGAACTGATTATCCTTTGGGCTACACCTTCACACACATCCATTTGATCATCCACTCCAAAGCACTTGAGAATTGAAGTCTTTGGCAACTACTACGATGTCCATTGATCGAACGCTTTGGAGTAATTGAGAAAGATCCTTGTAGTATTCATCCTTGGTTTCAGGTGTACTGCAATCGGTCGGTGCATACACCGATACGACGAATGGTTGAACGATAGTAGCAGCGGTACTCCTTAGAGCACTGATGAAATTAGACAGGTCACTGTTCAGAGTTAATCGTAACAAAACAGCTTTCGTCCCTACAAACAGGCTCAGCTACAAGAACGTCGTGTCAATTATCCTGAGCACCGACCGGAATTTCGCACCAACTAAAACCGAAACTCAGCGATTCGCATAGGCGGATCAGTGCGAAAGTATTACAATTGCTACTATTCTGAAGGTGAAAGAAAGCCCTCTTAGTCTTGTTTTGCTATGCAAACAGCAAAATGGAACACATTAAACTTTTATAAAATAAATATGCGTTTTTCCATAATATTTATTCTTTCTTTCGGAATTCTATCTCCTCCGCCGTTAACAAGACCGTTCAACGCGAAAAAGCCAGTTAGTGAAACTCCAGGAAAAGTTTTGCGTTGGCCTNGAATATGGCAAGCCGTATTTAAGATAAGTTTTAGTATTATGATTATCGGTTTACCGAAAGGGCTTAGAAAAATAGTACGTGTGTCGAATCTGTACGAAATTCTGTTAATGTGGATCAACCAGGATAATCGGACCAGTTCGAGTGACGCGCGAAGTCAACAGAAGACGAGATTTTCTTGAAATGCGGTACTATTAAGACAAACATGATTACGAATAAAAGTTACAAACCTCGAATTGTGAGGCAGTTCGGTGAGTGCGAGATTGCACTGTCAAGGCACAATCGAAACAAATTGGGGATTAAATTACAACAATATACCAAGAGAAAGACAGCGTTTTGCTGTGTCAAAAGGAGCCTTTAATGGCTGTCAATGCGTTCAACTGAACGACTGCCTACACGTGCAGATCGATCGAGATCAACGGTCAGAATGAATGGGGACAGACGTACGCACAAGGATCCGATGACCTACAGTGAACCAATTAAACGGAAAAGAAGAGACTGGGGACTGGTGACAATGAGTGGGTTCTGGTGTGGTCTGTGTGTACATCAATTCATTCATGTGTGCGACCGACCGGTCACTTTGGTGTGTGAATCACGAAAGTACATGCAGTTGGTTAAGTGTTGGCGTCGGGGTGCTATGGACTAAAAAGAAATTGTCATATATCGATCGATGGGAAGGCTTTGTCAACTAAACAGTGGAGGTGGCATGGGTCTTTGACACAAAGGGGGAGGGGGGAGAAACAATCAATTCGATCAATAAACTCGCGGGTCGGCTCAGACATGTGACATAATAAGGTGGATAGAAAGGAACAAGCATCAAGGGTGAACTAAGGAAAAGTACGAATGGAAGCTGAATAAACTGGATACGAGTAGGACGATAGTAGTAGGGGATCAACACGGATTCAACAACGTGTATCTTAGACGAGTCAAACGTTGACCCATGTCGTCATCGCTTAAACTTTTTCCATTCCGCATTTCCCACATGGCGCCTCGTTCCAAAACTGATTCTCCTGTAGTGATTCTCTACCAACACCTAAGCAGCATCGAATTCAGTGCTTATCCGCCACCTATGCCGACCCGAAGATCACACGACCGATTGGGTTCATTTAGCGATCGGTCAGATAGTTCAGCCGCAACAACTAACCTGGTGCTTGCCCAGCTAACCAGAGCGAGAAACCACATCTTGTTTACAGCCGCGAGTCTTGCACAGACCCATTGAACTTCGATTGTACACCAGGCGTGCCTTCACCACACGGATTGACTATACGTGACAGCAAGAGCATCACAAGACAATGTGAAATGGCGTGACAGTTGCACTATCCTACTATCCACATAGCAACGTGACATCTAAAATTGATATTTGGACATCTTAAATTGAAAAAGGTATAGACTCGAGTCGAGCCAAAGTGAACAGTCTGGCTATCTCTGAAGATGACAGCTGAACAAACATGAATTTGCCATTCGCTTCAGCTGTGGTATGAGCTGGTTGGCACAATGGTAACACACGTGCCTTCTATGAGATGGTTCCGAAGTTCAAATCCCGGACGGGACTTTGGCTACGCACTGCTGATGAACCCTAATAAGAGCGAAACTCGGATCTAGTTCTTTCGAGTGTACGTTTGACCGGATGAGCCAAGGTTTGTGCGTGACGGTGCAGTCAGGTTTTTTTCGGCATTGTATTATTGATCTATTATTTATTTTACCCCCAGTTAGATCGTTAATTCCCCACCGCACGTGATAGAAATCTCTAAGGTAACCAACAAAGAGCAGTAGATAACTGTTTCCTTCTATTTGGGACTCTTCAGTATTGCGTCCGTCCTGTCTCATTGTCTAAATTGAATAAGTCATTCTCACAAGATGATGACCGTCGACTTGTAGCGCGAGCTAGCCGTGTTTACTACCAATCCGAAGGTTCGCGGTTTGGGCCCCGATGGGGATGCAAAAGGTACGCATGGCTGAAGAGTCTCAAACAAAATGAAACAGCTGTCCAGTGCTCTTTGCCAGCTAACGCAAAGTTTTCTGTCGCAAGCCAAGGCGGATATAAATTATTTTTCCCGGGGCCTTGGAAAGCTATAACTGAAAACCGATCGTTTTCGTCGGTTTCATCAAGCTTGGATATTTACAAATGGATCACCCAGTGACAGGTTTAGTGATTTCTGATCATGAAACTGAGAAAACCGATACACTCTTTGTTAACGCATAAAATTGTTGCACCTAGAAATGTTCTCAAACTGTCGGCCGCGCTGAAAATGATGTTTGCATACTGATCTCACTTGTATGTGTGACTGCGCTAGACGATAGTCAGCAGGAGTACATCGAGTGGCACCGTTGCAACGACATGCGGCCTGAACGCCCGAATAAGAAACGGGATAAGTTATCAGTTTTGAGAATGACAGAAGCAACATCTCGGTTGAACGTTTTTGTGTCACCTCGATGTTGTTGAACTAATGAATCTCGGAAATATTTTTAAGAGTATTTAAAAAGAAAAATCATGTGTAGACGGAGACATTTCTTGTCTAATAGTTTTGAATCATCATCTCGAGATTTTTTTAGCGATAGTTTTATCTATCTATTTATCATCCTCCCATATTCCGGGACTTCAAACCAGGTGATGTCGGCTGATGGTGGTGCAGAAATCGGTCGAATCACGAAACAATGGAGTAACCTCTTGCAAGAAATGTTTACCGACGCGGACAATTTTGGTGTTTCCTTCCCCCTGGATTTAGATGTTAGAGTGAAAGCCACTCTGATTGGTGCAGTTTTCCTCATTGTAAGTTTCGTCCGTTGGGGCATTGTAAATCACTGATTTTTCAACCATATTGTATACCATTCTAGGCATTGCATGAGGTAGAAAAGGCGATCAAAATGTCAATAACAACGTCTAGAAAGTCAACTAATACATCTCGTCTTGCCATTGCAATCACGTGCCTGATTAGATGTAATTTAGCTTTTCACCAAAACTGTACTGTACATACTTCCGCGTTTACAAAACAGTTGTGCGGAAAGGGGCAACAGCACCGTTCATCTCTGTGCCTTTTGGAGAACCAAACGAATAACAGAAAATCAGGAAATTAATGAAATAACCAACTAACTCAAGGCGCATTATGAATACACGTTAACCTTTTCTCAACAAACGCATTCATGGGATTGGACTCATGGCGTAGGATCTCGTCATGATATGAAGTCGTCTGTTAGAACTGGTTCGTTCACTAAGCTACCAACTATTCCGCATTCCTGTCTGTAAGAAAGAAGATGGGGTAAAAAAGTTTCAAACTGATTGTTGTGATACGTGGAAGAATTTCTTTCACATCGGTTGTAACTTACGGAATTTGGACAACTAAATTTGGTGAAAACACAGTAGACGAGTGTCAGGCAAAACGCGCCCGCTTTACTTATCAAACGGTCTCCCTGGGCGTATACTCCAATCATTCGTCTTAGGACTCATTTATTAACTTACCACAAATATCTCAATGCCAGCCCGATTGTGAATTCTAGAATTTAATAGAAATGGTAATAGTTGCACCGTATCGTAGACAAAAGCGAAGCAACAGTATCTAATGCAGCTAATAACATGTAGCCGACAGTATGTTGAAACGGAATACATGCTTCACGTGGTGTCCAAGCTTGTTCATTTCTTTTTTCCTCTTCATTTCCGTGCAGGACTTCATGTTCTTCGAGGAAAATCACCGTCGCAGACATGATGATTGAAAATGACACTGGAATACCGATTGAGTTTATGTGAATATATCAATTCTTATGTCTGCTTTGTCGTCGAGGTGTGTCTTGGATGTACTTATTCATGTTTTTATTTGTTGTTGAACTTCACAACGCACACTCTTCCCTCTGACAGAAAAAGAATCTAAGGGAACTTGAAACACTGAGTTATTTTCTTGTCTCACCTCTGGACTGTTCTTTCATTTATTATTTGCTACTCTGCCTTAAATAAAAGCGATCAATTTCACCCGGTTCCATATCAACTCTCACGGAACTGATTGACGGATTAGTCTGGTTCAGTTGACTTATCCACATTGGTCTCCCCACCCTCCCTGCTACCCCCATCCGGAAACGGTTCACTTTCTTTTTGGTCGTAAATCAATTTGGGCATTGGATATATTTTGGTCTTTTCTGCATATACGACCCTTGCCCTTATTGTTCATGATGATGATGGATATTCCGATTTTACGGAAGCGTAACTATTCAAAAGCTCTAAATTATCTTTGATTTATCAACTAATTTGTTTATATCTTCTATTGTTTTACGACTTATCTCATTCGCCTGTTCGTAATCACGTGGCATCCACAAAAGTTTCAGACAGAAAATTACAGCATCTCTGTGATTGTATCGCTTATTTTCTTTGGCGACACCCAATGATCACTGAATTCATCATTGGATACATCTATTTCCCTTCTATCCCTTTCATTTGTACTACAATAACTATAACACCATGCGTGGAATTTTACTGGTAGATAGTTAAACTTTCGATCTCTCTGCGCCAGGCTACCTGTGCGCATAGTAACTACTACTCCCAGGAAAAAGGGGGTTCCAGCATTCCGTATTATCGAAAACACATTATTGCTTTACGCTCAATACCAACTCACTATCTTAAGTCGTTAGTTGTTAGCACAGCAACATTTCTGAAGTTGTAGTTTTACTGGAAGCTGGAGATAATTGGTTATCATGATCAAGCTGTTTAAGTGACTTACTATCTGTGACATCATTGGGAACCTAAGGTGCGGGGTTCGAATTCTGCCACCACCACCATCAGAAGTTTGTAGTAGAGCGCCTCGGTGTTCTCAGGCTCAGATTTTTCAGGGGTAATCTAGGTAGGTACTTCACTCTTCTAGGGTTTACGTTATCACTTGGCATAAATAAACAGTTGGTTCACTTTCGCGTGGTTCAACTCCTCTACTACTCATCATGTTAAACTGAGTAACAAAACTTGTTCAAATGAGTCACCAGGTTTTGCAACTAATCAGTCTCCCTAAACTTTTATGAATGAGGTTGCCTTACTCTCCGAAAACGGTGACTACTTTGTTCAATGGGATTGCAATTTTTGGCACGTTGTCAGTTTTCAGGCAATTATCTATTGGCGGCTCAGAGCTTGTATCAAAACACCTGGTGTCAAACATCTGTCCAGTAGTTTAGCTCTCCGTCATCTAACAGAACAGAACTTGTGCTGTCACCCTTACTAAGCCTTTCATATTGAATTTTGCCAGATAATTAATCCTTTGGTGTGCTTTGTTATTTGGCCTTACAACGCGACCTGTGTAAGCGGATGGACCACTTGACTGATACGGTAAATCGAACTTTTTCCTACCTCTGTGGCGCTATTTCTGTGTTCAAACCCGTTTGGATGTTCACGATCTTTGGCCGCATTACTGAGTGATATTGTGTGATCGTTTGTTTAAAAATCTATTATAATTTGAACCCAAATAATCGTGACCTGAGACCGGACGGAAACCGCAATCAGAACGAAAGGACAACCTCCATCCCTCCCACCCTCAAGCTCTTGCACCAGTTCGATGGAGAACGGAATATGGTGAGAACAGGGGACGAAAATAGTCGGTGGAGAAGAACATATATATAAACGAACGGGTACAATCAGAACACTCACTTCATAAGCACTGATGATGTCATCTCGGCTGGTGATGAAATGTTTGCAAACAAATTGCCCAGCTCGGTGAACGGGCGCAATGGAATTCAGTTCACCCGAGCTACTAGAACGAATTCTCAATATTTTGTCAACCTGAATGTATGTTTACAGTTTATGAAATATGTGAATATTGCACACTCTGTCATTCTGTTGCTTCTTCCTGCTTTTTATCCTTTATAACCCATTCGCTTAGAGCTACCGTGTGTGGAGAGAGGGCACTCATATTGGTAGTCCGAATGTTGAAAACGAATAATGCCATAGAAACCGGATTGAATTATATCCTCTGAGCTAGTGGGTTTTGACTTCGCGAAATCAGTGTGCATCCTAATCAATGTTCAAATTTCTAAAAAAACGAAGCATTTCAGAGCAGTAAGCAAATATTGTGGGGCAACTTTTCAATGCGAAATTAACTGAAAAAGTTCGTGATATTTCTCCTCGGTTCCAAACCCGAAATATGGACATGTTTGTTTTTCTCAATTTACAAATCTCTTGCATTACGTACGCATGCGTGCATCCATTCTTGAATGTTTCGCAAATCGTGGTTAGATTTTGTCACTGCAAGCAGAGATACCACAAATTTGAATGGGATCGTGATAAAACAGCCCACCCTTCCCCACTAAACGTATCAAGCAAGATAACTGTCACGTTTTGTGTTTCAGCAGGCACCTACAATACGTTTGATGATTATTATTGGCCTAGTTCAATGAAATCGCACAATATGTATTAAATGCTCCATGGTTTGTACATTATTGAACATTCGAAAGTTTGTGCTCAACTTCTGTCAAGCCTTTTGGTTTTGGATCACGCGCATTGCAAATACGGATTGAGTAGTGTAACGAGGATCTGTTAACATGAGGTGGATTAGTAACTTTCCTCACGTGAATGCCGACATAACACTACGTGTGGGTGTGCAGGTGGTCTGAAAACGTTTTGGCAACCGGTGCCAATTAGTATAGATCACCAGAAAACCCATCTACCTGGAGAGCTAGAGCAAAAGTTGCGAACGTCCTATATTTACTCGGGGCTGATGCCGTTTTTACCAGATAGCTCAACGAGCTTTCCGTAAGACCATTCTGATATACTCATTGCATTCCAGCAGACTACTAAATAGTCTTTGTTTAGATTATGAAAATAGTTCGTGGTAACAAGGGCGGTAAATTTTGGGAAAGCGATATAAAATAATGGTCCAATGACGGCTTGAAGTAAAGAATGTAGGATTATCTCAAAGAGTGAATACAACGTGAACTAAACATTTGGGAAGCAATAGACAGGTATTTGGATGAACAAGAGACAGTCAACCAACATCTTGAATAAATTCCCAATTTCCTCCTGTACAGAGCAAATGATGTAGTAACTGAATAGCTAGGAAGCACTGGAAAGCCGTTCTGATCTAGTGTGTTCTCAGCGGTACGGCGAACACATCGACCCAACTTGTGGATCGAACCTGATGCCTCACAGGTAGTACAGAAGCATACTGCCCTCTAAACTATCGATCAGCCGATCAAATCGGGCTGGTAGTCACAACTGTACATCAAAGTAGGATTTAAAAAGCTTAGGGAACAAATATATTATGGAACATAAACTCTTTGATGAAACAATATACAATAAGGTTGCGCGAATAAATAGCCTGGATCATGATTCCGTCTTTTCAGCACCTGGAAACTTTCTTCGAATTTTCTGCAAGGAACATTTCACAAGGTCTGCAGTATGAATAGGCTTATGGGGCGTAGTCCCTAGCATGATCATGGCCTTTGTTTTTCAAAGCAAACAATTATTCAACATTTGATGATCCATGCCCATCTACGGGCGAACGTTTCCTGACACTTGTAAGATAATTGATCATGTTAGGACAGATCAGCATGAACCCATTCACGTCACATCTTTTCAGGTCACCTTGAAACTCATTTCTAAATCTGTACAAACGTTGCAAATGGTCCAATCCGGGCACGCGTGTTTTCATGTTGCACATTTACCTTATTCCTATCGACAGTTGAGTGAGTGTTTATCGCTGCTCCTCAAATGCCTCTCGACAAACGTTTGTCTGACTATCTCAACCGTTCTGTGATTTTCGGGTTACTCATCCGTCATCATCGTTTCTAGGCTTATTGGCTGATTAACTTGCAATTGGTGTTCAGCTTCCAAAATAAAAAGTCCTGCTGACGATGTTTCACCGTGGGTATGACGATAACCGAAAGTTGGTTCACCATATGACCGAAATCTGCGAAATAAAACGAGTGCAAATAATCCAAAACCCAACGGACACATGAATCAAGTTTATATGGGGAAAATGTAGCCGACTGGTATGAAGTTTTTCTCAACCTAAAATTATTTTTATGGCCTTACAACGTAACGAACTGACCGGAATGCTACACCCTCGACTCTTCACAGACAGCTTAATGTTGCGACGGCGCCACAGATGTATTAAGTTGGCAAATTACAACCGAGTTTTCTGTATACGTGCTGACACTCCATCTGTGATGCGTGCGCCAGGTGAGATATAGCTAGCCAGATAGCAGGACGAACTCAATCTCGTAGCATCATTTTAAACTTTGAAGGTGCATAACGCTTACCACTAATACTCAAACTATCCAGAAAAGCTTACCTGAGTCTTCATTGAAGAACACAATGTCATCCAGATCAATAAGTCTTTCTGTCTAGCCGGTCCACGCCATTTTCAAACCATAAATGATGTCACTTCTGACAGAAATATTTCCTAGCAAGAAAATTTCGAAATAAAGTTTGCCCGTCCCGAGGAGCCTGCACCGTCAAATGGTGAAATGACTCCCGAGTGTATATTCCCCTTGGGTCACAGAGTAGCCTCCAACAGCTTATCATGCTTGAAACATAAACTGTTAGCGAGAGAATAAAGCTCGATTTTACAAGGTCAGCTCGTTGGAAACCTGGTTTCCTTTGGTCACTCACTTCCGTCTTTAGGATTCGGGTAGGCACGCCAGTAAAGGAACATGTGGAAAGTAACTTTACAGAATAAAGGAGAAACAAGATGCATGAGTGGNGTGGGGATCCGCGATTCCTTCCGGCAGTGGATGAAGTTTTG